GAGGAGAGCCCCAGGAGGCGGGGCGCTTCTGCTCTGGCCGCCGACAGGGCCTGGCCAGGCTTTCCAGGGCGCGCCTGACTCTTACCCTCCGATGTCCCCTCCAGGAGGGAAGAGAAGTTGGGAGTCGGGTCCTACCAAGAGTGTATAGGGATGCAAAGGACAGCTAGGGGAGAGAGAAAGCATAGCTCTCCTCCGGCCCCAACCTACTAATTCCTCAAATATCTGCCGCAAGTCCTCTCTTACGTGGTCTCTGAAGTTGTGTGGGCTTTGAACGCAGGCGCATTTACCCATCAAAAGCCCAGGCTGAGTGGTCACCAGATCTACAGGCCCTGACCTGGCTCACCCTGCAGGGTGATGTAATGGGCCTGATTCCCTGTAATCAAAGAAAGTCCACCCCTTGCCAGGCGTGATGGCACACACCTGTAATCCAGCACTCAGGAAGCTGAGGCAGGAGGGCAGCCTGGGCTACACAGTGAGTTCAAGGCCAGCATGAACTATATAGCAAGATCCTGTGTATTTAAAAAAAAAAAAAAAAGAAAGAAAAAGAACAAAGCCCACTCAGCAGCAGGCCCCTTCTCCTGGGAGAAAGGGGGAGTGTTGCTTTGGCCACAGAAAAACTCAGATGTTCTACATCCTGGGGACATGGCTTTGGGATCCTTTTATGTTTGCAGGCCTCTGCCCACAGGGGGCAAGGGCCCTCTGGGCCTGCATCCCGGGAAGGTTGTGTCCCCCAAGCATTCTAAAAAAAAAAAAAAATGGGGAAGCTTAGCTACCAATTCTACACACCCATCTCCTCCACCCAGGGCAACACAGGTGCAGCCTTTGTACGGCAGCCATGTCTCCCTCCTGCCCCAGACTGCTGAGGAGGAAAGCCAGACCGTACAGTGGCACCCGGGTGGTCCTGGTGGGCTCTGCACAGGCTTCGTGGAACACCTCAAAGCCCAGATATTTAGTCCTCTCCACTGCCTAACACTTCTTCCCCCTCTGCCTTGGGGGAGGCAGAACATAGAGTCCCTCCTTCCTCTGCTTCATTGCACTCAACCTGAGTGGGCTCTCTGCAACCTCGAGCCTCCACTCACCTTGCTGCTGGCCTGCCCTGGGCCAGGTCCTCCCCAGAGCGTGCCGCTGTGCTGAGGGAAGGAGTGCGCAGGTGTCTGCAGCAACGGTGTGAGCAGACCGTGCGGATCCTGCACGCCAAGGTGGCCCAGAAGTCGTATGGAAATGAGAAGCGGTAGGTGCCTCAGCTCTCCCTCCCGGGCTCTCTGGCCTTTAGCCCCTGTACCCGTCTGCCCTCCTCTTAGGAGGCCTCGGAGTTGAGACCTCAGCTATTGCCTGACCGGGGGATCTGTCCCTCAGCCAGCACCAGCCCCCACTGGGGCCTCTAGCACAACCTCCCTATGGCTCTCACCCACGATGCATTCATTCAGCTATTTACTGAGTGCTTATGATGTGCCCGGCTCTGGGGTCACCACTGGGCACTGGACATACAGCTGAACAAGACTGACACAGTCCCTGCTCTCCCGGCATTTTTACTCCAATGCAGAAGAGAGAAGCAGTAAAGGCAACTTATCAGCAAATGAGACTCTTCCAGAGTCTGATGAGAGCTGGAGGGAACAGAACAGGGTAACACGATATAAACCAGAGCGGTGGGGTACTTTCACTTGATAGATCAAGGAGATCAAAGAGCCTTTTAAGATGTGACATCTGACCGGAGACTTGATTGCTGAGAAAGTAGCTCAGTGGTAAAGCAAGTGCTTTGAACTGAGACTTCAGTGGTAGATGGAGCCAGACATGAAAAAATTTAGGGGAAGTGTTTCCAACTACAAAGAACAAAACATGCAAAGACCTTGACCTGTACAGTTAGGCCCATTTAGCTGGAATTAAAGGAGCAGGAGCAAGTTATAAGAAATAAGCTGGAGAGGTAAACAGGGGCCAGAGCATGTGACCTGGGATTTTCAACCACTGGAGGATTTCCAGAAGAGACATGACACATTTTGACTTATGTTTTTACAAAAGCACTCTGGCTGCTGTGGAAAGAATCTGTTAGAAGGGGGTGGCGTAGCAACACCGAAAGACTGATGCAGTCGTGTTGGCAAAAAGTAATGGTTAGGACAGGTGGTAGCACAGGTCTCTGATTCCAGCCACTTGGGAGGCTGAGGCAGAAGGATCAAAAGTTCAAGGCCATCCTGGGCAATTTAATGAAAGCCTGTCTCAAAAGAGGCTGTACCTCTGTGGTACAGTGCTTCTAAGTTCAATCCTCAGTAACACACACACACACACACACACACACACACACACACACACACTCCACTCACTTGGGAGAGATGGTTACACAGCCAGTGGATTTCAGATATGTTTTGAAGGTGGACTAGACAGGCCTTACTGATGGGTTCAATGACAGAAGTGTAAACAAATGAAAGTTTGGATGTTAATGGGGTTCACAGTCCTGGAGATGTTAGAATAGAGAGCGAGGAGGACTCCAGGACTCCAGCGTTGTGTGGACTGGACGCTACCTCGAGAAGCCTGCAAAGTAGGCAAGTGTGGCGATGGATCTTCGAACCCAGTCCTCTCATGTTTCCGCAGGTTCTTCTGTCCCCCGCCCTGTGTCTACCTCACGGGTCCCGGATGGAGGGTGAAGCCAGTGCCGGGCCAAGGTGAGGGGGCTCTCAAGAGTTGCAGGCTGTCGAGCTCTGTTGAGAGGACCCCCGAGCAGGCAGGGCGGTCGGCGGGCTCAGCCTCGCTGCGCCCTCTGGCGGCGTGAACTCAGCTTGCTCTGCGCCTGAGTTGCGCGTTCCCAGCCGTCTCGCGTCCCTTTCCAGCCCAGCAGGCAGGAGACACCGGGCCCACCGTCTGCGGTTACATGGGGCTGGACGGCGCATCTGGCAGCGCTGCCGAGACGCAAAAGTTGAATTTCGAGGAGCAGCCGGACTCCAGGGTGAGACAGCGTGAGAGAGGGTCCGATCCCTGCTCCCATCCCTGCCTCTTGGCGGGAGAGGAGGGCTCCTTTGGTCCCCTCTAGGGGTCGAGAGACAGCAGGGAGGCGGGAGACCAGACCCTGGCTCCTGGAGCTTCTCGTACCTCCGATGGGGCCACGTCAGATAACCGCGGGAGGTCGGGTCTTCTGCTGGCGGAGGACTGGGATGAGTCGGCCCCATCCCCGTGAGCCTGCTAGGAATTCGGTTGTGCCAAGACCCTGTACATCTCCGACGCTGACAAGAGGAAGCACTTCCGACTGGTGCTTCGCCTCGTGCTGCGAGGCGGCCGGGAGCTGGGCACCTTCCACAGCCGCCTCATCAAGGTCATCTCGAAGCCCTCGCAGAAAAAGCAGTCGCTGAAAAACACTGACCGTGAGCGGGGGCGGGGCCCGAACGCCGGGCCGGGCGGGTGGGGACAGCTGGAGCTGGCTCTAGGGGTGGGTCCGAGTGAGAGGGGTGGAGCCTGAGCCGCGACGGGACGGACGGGCCTCCTGGGTGGGAGGAGGAGGTGACTCAGAGGAGGGAGAGGGGAGCAAACCCGGGAAAGGGGACGCAGGCACCAGCATGGCGGGTTCCTCAGCACCATGCAGATGATGATGATGATGATGATGATGATGATGATGATGATGATGTTGATGATGATGATGATGATGATGATGCCCGGAGGCTGAGGCAGGAGAGTTGCTGTGAGTTCAAGGCCAACCTTTTTGAGACCACATCTCAAAAAGTTTTTTTAAAAATAGCAATAGCAGATTTTCTAGAAAGAGGTATAACCTTTCTGGGAAGACATGCACTGCAGATCAAAGAGGTTATTTGAGATACATACTATTCTGGATGTCAAGTGGACAATCCCAGGGTAGGAGGGCTCAGTAACAATGACAGCACCACCAGTCCATCACTGGGAGATAAGGGGACAGGGTGGGAAGGGACTTTCCTAGGGATCAGTCCCTTCAAGGTATGTACCATCGTTGTCCCTGTATAGTAGAGGGAGGAAATAAGGTTTTAAATATTCATCCATTCACCTAAGAAATCATTGGACCTACCTACATTCCAGGTGACTTGCCCAAGATTACCCACCTGGAAAGGGGCCAACCCAGGAAATGACCCTGAGCCAATGTGACTGCAGGCCCAGCTCTAACTCTCTACCACACTTACTTTACTTTTAAATTTATTTTTGATCTTGCTATATAGCCCAGGCTGGCCTCAAACTCACAGGATCCTCCTGCCTCAGCCTCCCAAGTGCTAGGATTACAGGCCTACACCACCACCCCCAGCCATACTTTCTATCTGTTAAAAAGGCTGTGGACTGTCCTGGATCCAAGCTGGTCCCTGGTGTCAGTGAAGGGCTAGGCAGGGGTAGGGGGATCATGTGATGGAGCCCAGGAGTCTGAGTTTGAATCCTGCTCTACAAGTTGCCAGCTGTGTGATCTTTAGCTGGCTGCCTTTTTTCCCCCAGTATTGGAAATTGAACCAAAGGCCTTTGCACTGAGCTACACCTCCACCCCTTTTTATTTTTTATTTTGAGGCAGGGTCTTGCTAAGTCACTAAGTTGCCCAGTCAGGGCTTGAACTTGCAATCCTCCTGTCTCAACCTCCCAAGAGTACTGGGATAACAAGTGTGCATCACTATGCCTCCATCTCTTAAGTGGAGATAATATTGTCTACCTTATAGGGTTATTGAGAGAGAAAGGAACAAAAACGTATAAAGCAGTTAGAAAAGTACCTGGCACACGGCAAGTGCCAGCTATTATTCAGTGGAGGGAACTTGGAGCAAGTGTAAATGAGCACCTACAGTCTGTTCCTCACTGTGAGAGAAGAGAGGACAACGGCCCACCCACTGCCTTCTCCCCAGATGCCAAAGTGCAATGAGAAAGTAAAGCAGTGGCTTTGAGCATATGGTCTTGGAAGCCAGAAGAGATAAATGCTAAACTCTAAAATTAGTGCATTTCTGTTCCACACCAAGTGGTCCCTGCTGGAGCAGCCCCTGAGAAACTCCTACCCACTTCCTGCCTACCTCTGAGAGAGAAACCTCTTCCAGGGAGGCCTCCTTAACTCAGTCCTCACCACATCAAGTTGGCATTTAGCTCTGTGTCCTTGAAATCGAGATCTCTTCCAGAGCAAAGATGGGCCTAACTCACACTTTGGTACTCAGTGCCCAGCACTACACCTGCCCCAAAGTGGCTCAGATGGCACAGAGTAGCTGGCAAGGCACACACGCGAGACGAGGGCAGCACTAGATACACAGAGAGGACCATCCAGCTTGTCCATGTGAGCCGGGCTGGCGCGTGGCGCAGAGGACTGGAAATTGTCTGGGAGCCCCTGAGCCCCACGCCGGGGCACTGACTCCATCCTCCCGCCCCCAGTGTGCATATCATCCGGCTCGAAGGTCTCCCTCTTCAACCGCCTGCGCTCCCAGACGGTGTCCACACGCTACCTCTCGGTGGAGGACGGGGCCTTCGTGGCCAGCGCGAGACAGTGGGCCGCCTTTACGCTCTGCCTTGGTAATGACATCAGCGGGCCCGCCGCGCATGTTAGCTTGCTTCCTCCTCAAGAAAGCTCAACTTGCCCCTGCAGCTGAGCTCAGTAACAAAGGCTCACCCACAACCCCGGTGAGAAAGTGACTGACCCAGCTGTTCCTTTCCCAGTGTCACTGCGTTTCTCCCTCCCATTGACTAAGTGCCCACCCAGGAGGCAGACCTTTTGAGAATGGTCACAAAGGACCCTCACCCCAGATTAGGAACCCCGGCTGCTTGCCGGAGGGCTGGCCCATTCATGGTGTGAGGTGGAGCCAAAGTTAAGAAGGCAGGGATCAGGGCAGAGGATGGGGCTCCTGAAACCTTCATCTCTTCCTTTCTTTCACCCCAGCTGATGAACACTGTTCCCAAGGGGACTTCCCACCTCGAGAGGGCTACGTCCGATACGGCTCCCTGGTGCAGCTGGTCTGCACAGTCACAGGCCTCACACTGCCTCCTATGGTATGAGGAGGGGCAACACATCTGCAGGGGTCCCCCAGGTCCGTGCAAAGTGTGACCTGTGTGCACAGGGCTGGACAGCGAGGCCCCAAAACTTGGTGACATCTGTTCTCACTCTGAGGACACTTGGTGCTTTCTGGGAATGTTCCTGTGTCCCCATGGCTGTTCAAGCAGCTGGGACAGGCTGGGAAGGCAGCTTCTGGGCACCAGGCACCTTGCCACCACTCTTCCTGCCACCCTTCTGTTGCAGATAATCCGCAAAGTAGCCAAACAGTGTGCACTGCTCGATGTGGACGAACCTATCTCCCAACTGCACAAGTGTGCCTTCCAGCTTCCAGGCGGCCCTCCAGGAGGGGGTGGTACCTATTTATGCCTTGCCACAGAGAAGGTGGTGCAGTTCCAGGTGAGCAGGGTATATCAGCACCAAGCATCCCGGAAAGGGGAAGGTAGAGAGCCATAGAATGCAAGATCATTGCCACTGCTGCCTACTGAACAGCACTGCCCAGCACGGAAGGTCAGAAGCAAGGACTATCAGGACAGAAACCTAGAATGCAGAAAATAATAAGTGCTATTACTAAGCAGTACTCATTCCTAAAGAATATTAGAACCATAGGACGTTGGGATATAAAATTGTAGAATGCAAATAAAAATTAGAATGGGTAATAGTATTGAATACTGTTGATGAAAGACTCATTAGAATGACAATATCGATGCATAGAATTGTAGAATGTGCAAAGCAATAATAAATATTAAGCAATTTGTCAAAAGAATGCTATCAAGAATGCTAGGTAACAGAATCATAAAATGTAGAAAACACCAATTATTATCATATCATTGAGCAATATTCCTTCCCAAAGAATATTAAAGCTGTAGAGTGGTAAGGCAAAGAATCACGCAATTTTAAATAATAAAATTCCAGAAACCCAAGAAAATAAGGCCCATTAGAAAACACCTGGGCTGGGTGTGGCGGACACACCTTAGAATCCCTTAGAATCCCTGCTCTTCAAGGGGCTGAGGAGAGCTGGGGTCCAGCAGAGTAACGCTGTGAGACCTTGCTTAAAGGGGCAGGGGTGTACTTAGGGAATACGTGGGTGGGGACTGGTCCTCAATCACCAGGACCAAGGGGAAAAAGAAAGAGAAGCAGGGAGAAGTCAGGAGAGGGGGGATGGGAGGGGGGAGAGGCAGGGAAGGAACAAGCAAGCAGCAGGTCCAGGAAGCTTTTCCGACCCTCTGTGGGAGAATGTAAGAGTCTGGTTCAAGTTCGGTTGCAGGGAGACCCCAGAACCTAGGCCGGAAGCCCATTTGGGCCCAATGGGGAGGTCGGGCACTTTGCAGCTCCCTTACACTGGCGGCCACCATCACAGCCTCTGCCCCGCCCCTGGGTCCCCTTCCAGGCCTCTCCGTGTCCCAAAGAGGCGAACAGGGCGCTGCTCAACGACAGCTCCTGCTGGACCATCATCGGCACGGAGTCGGTGGAGTTCTCCTTCAGCACCAGCCTGGCGTGCGCGCAGGAGCCGGTCTCGGTCTCGCCGGTGCCCCTCATCGGCTCCCTCGAGGTGACCCGGACGCT